ATAAATGTGTTTGTTTCACTGTCTCGGATGAAAGTGTGGAACTTGGACTCAACTCTCCGTTTGTGCGGTCTTCCAAGCGCCAGCTAACTTGCAGGATGACTTGCCAGCAGGCCTAGCGCATTCGGAATGTTGACTTGCAGCGGCTCGCGAGATGATGCGTGGTAGAACGTTTCATGCCTGTATATCCTGATGTTTTCTGACGTGTGGCAGGTCTGGCAAAGTCAGCTCAGCTTCTTGGGTTGCAAATTCACTGCTTTTGTCCTGCAATTCTTGCACGTCGCCAACCAGCAACACAAGCCAAGGATGAAGGCAATGCCGGCAACGCCCAATGTTCCAATCCCAATGCAAAGGCCGGAACAACATGGGCACGATCTTCTCCAGGAACATTTTCATTTCTTTCAGTGCTTCAGAGTTGGTTTGGCGAGGTGGGAGCGAAAGGCAGGAGCACCTTTGCCTCCTGGTGCAGGCCGCAGCATCTACCAGCTCAGATTGCGGTGCGTTTTTCAGTGTTTGTTGTTTTGCATCTTCTAGGGGTACAAGCAGGACAGAGAGTAGATGACTCCTTCCCAGATGGAGAAGCTGATGGTTTTGAAGGCGAGGATTGGGGAACTCGATGTTGTAAGATCTTCAGCTTCAGCAAAATCAGGTGATGGCGCAGAATTTCTCAAAGAGGAGGAAACTGCGGCACCGCCTACGGAGGAACATTCTTTGCATGATCAGTGATAAGACTTCTGATAAGATAAGACTGATTTCAGAATGATTGAACCACGATGCTTTTGCAAGGAGACTAAGCATGCGAAGGAGGAGAAACCCAAAGCAAAGTCTGAGGAGGACCTCAAGGCACAACAGAAGACCAAGTCATAATTCTGAGTTCGCGCAAAAGGCACACAGGAAGATGCCTTGACTTGAGTTTGCATGAGTGCAGATGTCTACCGCAAGAGAGATAAGACCAATTCCAGAATGATTGAACTATGATGTTTTTGCAAATAGACCAAGGATGCGAAGGAGGAGAAACCGAAAGCAAAGTCTGATGAGGAGGACCTCAAGGCACAACAGAAGACCAAGTCATAAATCTGAGTTCGCACAAAGAAGCGCACAGAAAGATGCTTTGACTTGAGTTTGCATGAGTGCAGATGTCTAACATTATACTTTACCATGATGCTTTTGCAAGGAGACCAAGGATGCGAAGGAGGAGAAACCCAAAGCAAAGTCTGAGGAGGACCCCAAGGCACAACAGAAGACCAAACCCAAAGCAAAGTCTGAGGAGGACCTCATGGCACAACAGAAGACCAAATTATAATTCTGAGTCGCACAAAAGGCACATAGGAAGATGCCTTGACTTGAGTTTGCATGAGTGCAGATGTCTACCATTATACTTTACCATGCTGCTTTTGCAAGGAGACCAAGGATGCGAAGGAGGAGAAACCCAAAGCAATGTCTGAGGAGGACCCCAAGGCACAACAGAAGACCAAGTCATAATTCTGAGTTTGCGCAAAAGGCACACAGGAAGATGCCTTGACTTGAGTTTGCATGAGCAGATGTCTACCATTATACTTATATAATATATATATATATAATAATATATACATATATGTGTGTGTACAGTTGCTTCAAACTAGGAGAAGACTCGCGCAAATGTTAATGCTTGATTCAGCGCTTGGCATGAAACCCGGTGATGTTGCCAAGGCCAAGGCTGAACCAAAGGACTGCTGTTTGAACCGTGTTCCTAAGAGAGATTATATGTACAGTTATGTGTATGTACATATACATTTCTTAGGGCAACAGATTCATAGCTGTTCGGAATCAAAATGCACAGGCCTTCCAAAAAATCATATAACAAAAGATCATCAATAGAATATAAAGGTCCAATGGCCTAAAACCAGGAAAGGACAACACGCATGTATGTTCTAGCATTTTAAGTTCTTGCTCCTCATTCACTTGTTGCAGGAGGCTGAGGCTAAGCTGAGTTTGCCTGCACCACCCAGTGGCCCGGCGCCTCCACCCCCGGAAGCGCAAGCACCCAAGGCCGGGAAGAAGCATGCAAAAGGTGTTCATTTCGAGCGCAGCATGCTCAAAAAGAATGAAGACCTCTTTCAATGCAAGAACTCCACCATATTGAGAGAAACACCATGCGTTTTGGATGGCATTGCCCCTTACTAGCAGCAAGAAGGCTTTTCATTTTCCATTTTTTTATCTTGAATCCACTTGAAACTGAGAGGCCAAAGGCCAAGGATGAATCCGCCCGGGAGGACTTGTTGATGAATAGTCGTTGTGTGACGTGACAGTTATTTTCCAGAATGCAGCGGCGATACAGGTAAAGACATGGTCACAGCCTCCACATGAGCACAATTTAAGCCGGACAGTTTGATAAAGATCTCAGCACAGGAGCCCTGTACCCAGCCTCACTTTGAATGGAGACTGGCCCAAGAGGCTCTGATGAGTAGGACCCGCAAACAGCTGTCACAATAAGCGCCAGTCAAAAGTGATATTAGTTGACCTACGCAGCTTGCCACTAATCAAACTGGTGCCATTCTGCTTTCTAGTGACTGAAGGCTGCAAGATTTGTCTTACATCCATGCGTTTCAATCACCATACCTGGATCCAAAGATCTGGGTGTTGAAATGTATAATGCTGTCGGTCAAGCTCTGGATCAGATCAACTCCGTTGACATGAGCACAACTAAATTGGTTGGATTTGACATTTGGGATACTGAGGAGTGTAGGTTTAGGGTTGGTCATAGAGCAAATTCAGTCCTTTGGCCGTCCCGCACCCCCCGTCCCCCACACAATCTCATCGAAATTGAAGATTGTGTTAATATGTTTATTCTCTTTAACGACAGGCAACCTTGTGCCACCCCAGAGCAATTGACGAACTGACGGTGGCAGCGTGCATTGGCTACAGTATTTTTGAGAAAAGATGTGCTGCGTCAATATTTGCTGAAGCGTTCAGATGAAGCTTGACAGTCTGACATAGCTTAGGACCTTTCAATTGTCCTCGTTCGCTGATGAGACTCTGAGGGGGGAGAGAGAAAGAGAAAGAGAAAGAGAAAGAAAAAGACGGAGAGAGAGAGAATGATGAAAGAGAGAACGGATATGGGAATCGGATTTCGATCAACAAGCCTGCGGAGTTTCCTGTTCTCATAAAGATGCAGGCGGTGATCATCTCTTGCGGTGCTCCAGACTCTTTCGAGGTTTATGAGGCCACTTTAGCTATGCCCTGATTTTTGCTCGTACTGGGTGTTTTGCCTGAACAGTTTGATGGATTTTGGAAGCACATACCAAATTCGATCGGGTTCACTCGAAAATTAGGCCTACTAGAAGCAACTGCTTCGTCCACAAGCCTTTGTGACATGCCGAAAGACACGGAGCCTGGTTAGTTCTCCACGACGGTTTGGGAGGTCTGCTTCGAGAGCCTCACAAAGATTGGTTTCAGCTTGCCCGGCATTGCCAGCAAGGACCCATGATCAATCGACTCTTTTGTCATGTTCACGTTCCTGGTTTCATGAACACATTCTACCTGAGTCAACTGCTGCAAAGGAGCTTCTTCTAAAGTTGCTAGAGGAGGTGCACGAGGTATGGTCAGGGCAATTGTGACACCAGCATGAGCAGGAATGCTTCGAGCACGGGTTTTGAACGATGTTGGACTCAAGCACACCATGCGCTACTGGAGCGATGCAGTGCAGGTCTATGACGTACTACTTTCCTGCGTGGAGACATACGAGTGGGCCAGAATCTGAGCATGACAGCAAAACAAGCATGTAGAGACCATGGTCAAGTCAAATACTTAATTTCCAGGCATCATCAGCAATACGTCTTCAATCCTTTCAGTATAGGATAATTTCAAGTTTTGATGCTCCCAAGTACTCCCAAGGTTAAAAGTATAGGCTTGAATTGTTGCAGAGGTTCAAGCAACCTTCAAAAGATCTTATGTATATATATATACTACTAACATCTAGTAACAAAGGGCATCGCTACTAGAGCAAGAAGCTACTAGTAGCTCCTGGCTTTACTACTAGGAGCAAGAAGCTACTAGTAACAAAGGGCATCGCTACTAATTTAACAAACTCCAGTGTGTTTTTCTCTGAGATGTGCGGAGGTCCAGCCAGGGGCCACGGGCCTCCTCCGTCTTTGGATGCTCCAGGCACTGCACTCAGTGCTCTTTCCATTTTGTACTTTTCACACATCCGAAGGAGTCAAGACATTCAGGAGCGTCGAGACTCGACTGGATTGATTGACAACTGGAACTAACTTTTGCTTCACAAGAGCTCAGTAGATTGGTCGGAGACAAACTGTTTTGGACGATCCATCCTATCATGCTGGTCGTTCCAGCCTTTGACAATGCCTGCTTGGTCATTTTGCTTGACACCTGACATGTGGCCTTTCTCACTAGCATTCATCGCTCCAATTGCAAATCCGCGCATTTCGCGCTGCTCTTAGATTACTGCTGGATTAGCTGACTTGAACAGCTTGGCCAGACATTGTATCTACAGATTTCTGCAGGTTGCTCACATGGCTTCGGGCCGACAAGTGGTTGTTCTGGAGTGCCCCGGACTGATTGTTCGTAGAGCCGCTTCCATGAGTTTTGGGTGAGGTATGATCAGCTGACCAACGGTGCAGACCTAGGAAAGCAGCTCCTGGAGGCAGACACCGCGCATGTGTGTTTCTCCACTTTTACAATACATTCGGACTGCACTCAGAGCTTGATAGATTGATGCTTGCATTTGAGGCCTGGGGCCCTGGCAGCCTGGGCGTTGTAGCAGTCCGCGGCATACCCGGCTGGGAGGACTGATCTACGCTGAGCAACCTTTCATCCGATTGCGCGTATGTGCGAGCCTGCGAAGGACCTATACCGGCCAGTGCTCAAGTTGCCTCCTTGGATTTAGAAAGACAAAGGTGAGTGCCACTGAGAAAGGTCAAAGACTACTTGCTGTGCTTGACGATTCTTGAGGTTGTCACACACCTTAGCACACTTGCCGCCAGACAGCTTGAAAGCATTAGAAGATGAGGCCAGAGAACAATGATGGCATACAAAAAGTAAGTATAGTATAGTATACACTGCCCAATGTGCGCAACATCGTGCTCATTTAAAAAGTCAGTCTTCTCACTTCTCTCACATTGGAGCTAAAGATTTGCAGCAGAAATCCTTTGCACGGTCTCGTTGAAACAGAAGATTTGGTTGCAGTCAACGCTGTCACCAGCCATTCCAGCAGCTTGTTGATTAGGTAATTATTCGAATACAATGATATGCTGCAAACGTATGTAGTTACGTCCCCAAAGAATCTAGGAACCAAATCAATAAGCCTGAGCCCTTCTGCGTCCAAGCCTAAGAAGCTATTTAAGCTTAGTAGCTGCTCGCCTCTTACTTACTTAGCTACTACTTGTTAGCCCACCCTAGCGACCTACCCCTTTGCGCGGTGATTTTTCATGGCCACTTGTGTCATGATGGGGTGCTTGCCCGAGTTTCGTGCGCTCGCGGAGGCCTCCATGTACAATGCTGGTTGGCACAAGACCCAGTAGAGATTTGCTTGACACTGGCCATTTCTTTTTTGCTCGCAACAGTCAGCACTGTAATGTGAGCAACAGTATGGTCCTGGACGGTGTAGCAAGAAGCTACTAGGTGGAGGCCATCGCTATTAGGTTGGAGGCCATCGCTACCAGCAACTATTCTCATCAGTAGAGCAATTTGTTGAGGTCGCATGGAAAGGAGAAGCTGGGTGACAAGCCTGACTTCGCCAAGGGCTCGCCCTATGCCAAGAACTGCAGGATCCAAGTAAACTGTTTCCATTCGCAACTTCGCCGAGGGCAAAATTGCTAAGTGTGCCAGAGCCAAGGTTTTACTTCAATCCGTTGTCGGATACTCCAGGCACAGAGGCCAGCTGAAGCGAATAGGCCCTATAGGCACCAGGCACTGAATCAGCCGCACGAATTCTAAACCCAGGACGACATGGCCAAATTTCCCTGGGCGTTGCCCAAGAATCGATGGCCCAAGGAGCTTTCAGGTGTTTGCTGTGGCAAGCAATGCTTAATATAGCTGCTAGGAGATCCCTGAGCTGGAGAGGAAATGCAAGGATCTGGGCAAGGTGATGCAAGAGGCCCGAAGCTTTTGATACTTGCAAAGTGTATTTTGGATGTGTAGCTATTCGGAGTGTTTGATTGCCTTGTTGCAGATATTCACACCGCTTCGCGGTCGAAGCCGCCCGCACGGATCGGAGCCGGGAAATTGGTCAATGTAGCTGTAGCAGGGGTGGTATGTATAGACGGGTGCATCAACCAAAAACTTTTGGGGTGCCACGAGGAGGATCAAAAAGCACCTTGTGCTCTCCGAGCCGGGAGGAAGCGGAGGCAACCGGGCTCAAGCGTGAAGAAGTGCAGCGTGAGTGAAGGAAATACTGAGGGATGCTTAGTTTAGGAAGCAGCAGCGGTGGGTGCTGGTGTCATGCTGCCTACAAATATCTTTTGCTATCTGGGTCTATGCTGGCATAAGAGGTGCCTGTGTGCGCTTTGGAGCTTGGGTGCCGCTGCAGAGTGATGCAGCAGGGTGCTGCTCCAGGGCTGTGTTCCTTTGTGCGCGCTGGCAAGCCTAGAAGCGCGTAGGGGCTATTGTTCTTCACTTTTGTGAGCACACGAAGAGAATAATCCTTTGGTGACGAGCAGGTGATTCCCTCATCGTGTTTAGTTTTCATATCGTTGCATCAGATTTGCTTTCGACCTGCCTGTGAGGTCATTGGATTCCTCGGGGAGCAGGTTGACCACGTGATGGCCAGCAAGGTGCCCACCAACCACCAGAAAGCAGGGCGCGAACCCATTCCCAGTGTGTGGGTTCGACCTGCTAAACCCACCACAATGTGCATCGCCTCCGCATTGCGATGTTAGTCTTGCAAGGTGAAGACCTACACTGCAAACCTCGGAAAGACCCTCCGTGAGGATCTTAAACGATCTTCGTCACATTGCGCCGCACATCTCTTTTTGCATCCTTTTGCTGACCTGGTTTGGATATGTGAATAGTTTTGATTTGAATGTGGCACTGTCAAGGCGAGACCAACAAGTGCAAGGGCAGACTTCTCTACTACTTTCCTCCTAAGGAGATTGCTGCCAGTAGTCCATGCTTCAGAGAATTTGCTTTATCAGTAGCTGTGGGTTATCATGCCCACTCACTCATTTTGATCCTCGAGTACTAATAGCATTTCAAGCCACAATTGTGTTGTGGTGTGTCCGCGTGTGTTTTGGGCTTCATGTGTGTTGACGTTGGCAGATATTACCCACATCAACACCATTTTGAGGAGACAGTAGCCCCTGGCGGCAACGATGTCTCGGAGGAGCATTCTTTGGGGGACGGCTTTCACTTGATCTCATCAAGTATGGAAGCAACACTGTTGATAAAGGGCCTGGGACTCCAAACAGATTATTGTGCTGAACCCATTTGATCAGGATGGCTGGATTGGCTGGTGCAAGCCTCGGTACAGTAGCAGCTTTGGGAAAGTGATCACTGTAGAAGTACGTTTTAAGATTAAATTGCTGCACGCCCTCTGGATCGATTTTTTTCCTAGGCACAACGACTCCGGTTTCATGACCGGGTTGACGCCGGACCTCTTTGCCGCATTGCAGCACGTGGAGGCGAAGATGCACAAGGACACATCTATTGAAACTGAGGTCGATGATGCAGATGCCATATGCTCAGTGCTCAGAGACTGAGACACTCATTTAGTTATATTCTTTCCTCAGGGCTCAGAGATCGAGAATCCTGATCCAGAAGGTGCCGGGCTATGGATTGTGGACCGAGACGGCGCAGCCAGGACCTTGGAACACCTGGCCGAGTCAAGAGCTGATGTTCTTTTTCTTCAAAGTTGATTGAGAGTTTCTGACACAGTGCCCATAAGGCCGTGCGGGTCAAGATTCCAAAAGACTGCATGGCCATCCAAGTAGGTGAGTGCACACAGGCTGGGCTTGGTTCTTCAAACAATTTTGAAAGCCGAGAAATCATTCCTTTGCACTTTGCACCAGCGAGGTTGTGACTGGTGGCGAATTTGTCGCTACTCCTCATTGTGTGCGTGGTTGCCGGCCACAGTATTGTGCTGGGCGCAAGGCGGGGAAGTCGGGGGCGCTCTTGGACGGATTGCCCAAAGCCAGAGCTGCAGGTCGCCAGGGTGTCCTGCCCTTGTTTTGTGGACACACACCCCACCTTCGAGCTGAGGACGAGTTCTCAGTTTTGTTTAACCAGCCCGAGCAAGATTTGATTGTGCCCCAGACTGGCAGGATCCCCGATGGGTTTTCGAGCGAAGCAATGCTAGCAAAAGGCGAGTCCCTGTCAGGATTGATTTGCCACAATATAGCACTCAAGCCTCTTGGAATCTGCGAACACAGACTTGCTTCAAGTGTTCATCAATTTGTGTTGCAGGCGTATCCTCGAAAGTACCACCACTTGCAGAACGATGGGAGTTTGCATCTCAGAGGGACATGGCCATGGGCTTGAAACCAGTAAATTTGTTTAGCAAGACAGACTTGTTACGCTCCCATATGTTTAGCACCTGGTTGAGCAGATGGCTTATGACAGCTCGTGGTTGAGCGTTGGAGTCGTGAAAGGGGTCGGTTTAAGCATGTCTCAACGCAGCAGGTGCATTCTTGGATTACTTATATAAGTTTCCCTAAAAATCTAGGAATCATTATTGCGAGCGCTTCCTTGCAGAAGTGTGAGCTATCCTGCGTCCTAAGTAGTAGCTACTTAAGCTACTTGCTACCTAGCTAACCTACCTCCCAGCGGCCTACCCCCCGCCCGCCCGGCGGGCTAAAAACAACAAAAATCAGAATGGCCCTTAGCATGTCACGTCGAGGCCTGGTCAGAGCTTTGGCGACTTTTTGGGCGCCACCTTCAAGCGGTACTACGCTGGGGTACCAAGCGAAGAAGGGCCGGAATCGGCCTGAAATGCACAACGATGTCTTTCTTTCAACTTTTTTGCACATTGGTACTTGTACCTTTGTGCTCTTCTGACTTTTGCTGTACCTTCAAGACCTTGCCTTGCCGCTGTCGTTGTTTGCTTCGTGCCCAACTCCGTGTGTTTGGCTGGGCTCTGTCCAGATATTGCCATCTCGTTGATGGCACTGGTTTCATTATGCAATCATTTTTAGGGACATCGAGCTTTAAGCGGATTTGCCCGAGAAAACAGGAAAACCGATGAAAACGAACAGAACCTAGAAAGCCGAGCTGACCTTGGTTTGAAAACAGCGCTGTATTCACGCCTTCACAGTTTTTGTGGCTTTTATGCGTTTTCACGGCTTTCATGTCCTTCGCGGTTTGCGTGTTTTCGTGGTTTGGACCCTTTTCCCTTTGCGAGCCCCTTGGAACCAACTTTGGAAATATAGAGAACCTTTTCACAAAAACTGGTCCTAAGCATTGGCTCATAGAACGAAGCCTATCAGAATCATTATACACATACATGTAGTGACTGTAGTGCTTAGAGCCAAAGTAAAGAGTACAAAAAACCACAGGAGACAGGCATTTTTTCCAATCATTTCTTCTCTGGCTTGTTCACGAGTTGTAGGGTGCTTGATTTTGTCACATGGGTTTGTAATGAAGTGACGGGCATATAATATGAACCTGTCTACTGTCTACTGTACAAATGCTTGAAACTGGTTGTAAGTATTGTTTCTAAGTATGACCTCCCTCTTGGTTGAAGGCCGCGTGGTCCGGCCTTTTCGGAAACATGAGTAGGTTCTAAGTACTGTATGTGTTCCTCACTATCATTCTAGAAAGCTTTGTTGAACCTTGAACACCCCAGCCCTGGCATTGTCCAAAGTTATCACTAGATAGGGAGCGCAGCCCTTGATCATCGTTTTTCCAACCACTGGATCCACTGGGCGCTTCTTCTGGTGTAGCAGGGTCCGCTTGTTTGTGACATGTGATGTAGGTTTTCCTGGCAAAATCTCATCCGGATGTTGAGCTCCTTCGATTCCTTTCCTAGAAGCACATTCCACTGGTTTTCGAGGTTTTTGTGTTTTCAATTTTTTTATTCGTTTTTGCGCGTTCGCCATTGTCGGGTTTGCGTTTTCATCGTTTTCGCGGTGTTAGTTGTTTTGCAAGTTTTCACGCTGCCATGGTTTTGTGTTTTTCGCGTTGTCACTGCCGGATCCGCGAACATCCGCTTAATGGCAAACGACACGGAAAGGCATTGTCCGATTGATCCATTCGTTTCGTCCAATCCTTGTGTGTTTGTTGGCGCCCGCCCTGCCTAGCCCTTCTCAATGTCTCAGTCCCGCAATCAGGTTAATAAAAGTCAGCTGGACCTTGCACCAAAAGAGGACACGTTGATTTTGTATAGAGTATTCAGCCTATGCAAAGGCATCCGACTGAGCAGGCCCAGGGCAGGCTCTGGAGGAGGTTGAAAACGACGCGGTTGAGAATGTTTGTGTTGTGCGAAGGCCTTTGGACAAACTGATATGCACTGGGGCAACGACTCCAGAGCTTTGCTGCAAGACTTGCTCTAAGGACTGGGCCTTGGGCAAAACTGGCCCGCCTGAGAAGAAAGCACGAACAGCATGACCCAAATGCTCACCTGTTTTGCAGCATCTGATTCACCTAAGGTGAGGGTTAGCCAAAGTATTTTGCTAATTATTTGAATGGGAGGAAGTCTGCTTGAGACCGTTCTGACCATTGTGTTCCATGCATTTGGAGAAAAGGTAGATCGTGCTTTCTTGCCGGGGAGACAACGGAAGATCGCCGCGGCAATAGCCTTGCAGTCGCGCTCTAGAGGAATAGCTTTATACTTTCAATCTGACTCGATTGCGCTGCAAGGTCCTTTTTGCAGTCTTTGGCAACAACTTGACAGGCTGGGGAATGATGTTATTGCAATGGAGATTTTGTGCTTGGTCTTTGGCTTTTGCCTCGAACAGAGAAGCGAGAGACATCCAAACGGGTCTGTACACAAATCTCTGTGTGAGAGTGTTTTGCATAGAAATCATGAGCACATCGTGTAAAAGCGATATAGTGAAAAACCAAAAGCAATATAGGGAACGACCAAATACGGAAAATAGGTTTTGTAAACAGAGGTTTTATAGAAAGATAGAAAGGACAGGTCTGCAGGTATCAGAAAAAGAAGGAAAGGGAAAACAACGAAAATAGAAGACAAAGCTAGACAAAGTCTGGCGACAAAGGTGGCAACGTAATATAATGTAATGTATTTTTATCTCCGTCGGCGAGAACTTCGAATCACCCAGCTATACCCACAGAACTCCAGGTTTGATGCTGATGGAGCTCACAGACAATGATGTTTCAGGCTCACAGATGCAAAACCGCTACTGATCCGCTTTCCACATAATCAGCATATTCTGCCTCCCCTCGCTGCTACATACTCAGTAGATCTCAGCACCAGGTGCCGTCAGCCTCATTTCCTTCCTAGTGCGCTGTGAACAGGTGCGCTCCCGTGCCCTTCACTCCTTGACTACAAACTGCAGTTCGACAGTACTGCATCGATTGAAGGCGCCCTTCGAGATGCAGTCTGCTGCGGGTCAGTGCCTCGTGCAGCTGACAACAGCTGACTCAGTCTTCCTCTCGAAGACACAAGAAGGAGCGGGCTGAGCAGCTAGGTGCAGCTAGGTTTACCAAATGCCATTTTGAGACGAGGATTTTCAACTTGAAGACATTCACAAAACATTTGCATGCACAAACACACACTCTACTTGGTCTCAGGAACCAGGTTCAAGGGCCAAGGTTTCTTTGTGGGGAAACTTGAGCATGGTCTTGTTATCAAGCCACTTCATATTTTGTCCTTTCTTCGTAGTGGGCCTGCTGGTCTACAAAGACCAGACGTTTCATCACTGCTTATATATTTCTTAATCTGGACTGATCTTAAAGCATTCATGGCACCTTGCTGTCAGGCAGTGAGGATTGGCAGAATGAGCAGATCACCAAACTTACCGGCATGCTGAATCGTGGCATCCTCATCTCCTCTGTGGTCTCACCTCCTCATGTTGATGGGAAAAAGAGAGAGAGAGAGTGCTCAGGTCATGTGAACGGGTTAATCAAGGCAAGGCACTAGGCCACAAAGACATATTGTCAAGTAGAATTCAATCGCTTTTCTGCATCAGGGCCTCATCCAGTTCGACATCGTTGAAGCCTTTGGGCGCTGCATTTGTCAACATCAGATGAGCAGCTCTCTCAGACAGTGGTCAATGCCAGTGAGAACTGACTTGCCACGTAAGACGACTTGCTTGAGCCAGCAAGGTGTTTGATGGGTTGTGAGTCCCTGGAGGCCACAGCCGCACCGACATCATAGTGAAGTATTTCCTCACCACAGCACCTTGGCGGGCCTTTACTCAAAGTTGATTCTAGAGTGTGGAGTTTGCCGACTCAGATCCACAACTGCCTACTGTACTGCTCCGAGAACCAGAAAAAGTTACGGTTTTGGCCTCGGACCGTTGCTTTGTGCTCTTAGAAGATTCCACGGATGGCTCAGGCAGCATTTAGCTACTCAGAGCACTATTGTGCAGGCATAGTGAAGCATCACTGAGTGAAGAAACAGTTCACATGTTGGTGCAGTTTTTGGTGCCACCTTTGGCACCTGGTTCTTCCCACGCGGGTCCAGGATATCATGATCCCTTACGTCTACAACATTCTGCCGGCGTTGTATGATAATCCTGCAGTGCTCTCCTGAGAGATCTTCAGCATTCTGCAATTCTTTTTCCAGGTAGGTCGAAGAGCAGATATGTTTGTTTTAAGATACATGACAGACATCGATAGGTTCTACGTTCCTAGTCATGTCATGTGAGGTACCGTGGATGTTGTCGGTGAAGTTGTTTTTTCTTTGTACGACCTTTGCAATGTGTTTCTTCCTGCGTAAATCTGCGCGTCACTTCGCAAGACTGGCATGAAGTAGTGTATTTTTTGATCAATCACAGCTTATTGCTACCCCCAAAACCAGCCACATGGTCCGCAGCATTTTCTACTCCGCCTATGCAACAGTTCCATTACTGTACTGTACTATACTACTAACTGGTCCTTTTCTCCGGGTTTGTTGGGGAAATCTGGCTCTTGTAAACCGATCCTGCGGCCCAGTGTGGTCCTTCGCTCATCGAATGGCAGAACCTCAAGGCTGGTCCATGGTTCGGGACATTGCTAGACATTGTTTTTCTTTTCTTTATTTCCGCAAGGCAACCTTGCAGACCTTTGTAGTCGTTACCTTCAACATTAACGCCGGAGCCTCAACGGTTTCGTGTTTTCTTTTCATTTCCCCCAATTTTTGCCTTCTAGTAACAAGTGCAATGCTACTAGTAACAAGTGCCTTACTAGTAGTAACAATGTTTGTTATTAATTTAATTTAATGGATTACAAGTGCCTTCTGCCTTACTACTAGTAACAGGTGCCAAGCTAGTAGTAACAGGTGCCACGCTAGTAGTAACAGGTGCCTTACTACTAGTAACAGGTGCCACGCTAGTAGTAACAGGTGCCACGCTAGTAGTAACAGGTGCC